GCCTCCTGGGCACCTTCCTAGGGAGGTGTTCCGGGCATGTCCCACCGAGAGGAGGCCCCGGGGAAGACCCAGGACACGCTGGAGGGACTATGTCTCTCGGCTGGCCTGGGAACGCCTTGGCATTCCCCCGGAGGAGCTGGAGGAACTGTCTGGAGAGAGGGAAGTCTGGGCATCTTTGCTTAGACTGCTGCCCCCGGACCCGGTTCCGGATAAGCGGAGGAAGATGGATGGATGGATGGTGTGATTATAATAATTGGACCTGAATGTCAGTGGGTTGATTAACATTCTACAGGTGTCACTTTTTAACTTTACAAAATTAATGGAAACATGTAACTGGAGAGTAGAAAAGAAACAGGAGTGAATCACAAACATATATATATTCCAGATAACGGCAGTTTGTGATCTTAAATGTGTGAAAAGAAAAATAAAAGTGTCCCAAAATGCTGCTGGTGTTTTCAGGGGAATACCAACACATCGTGGCTGGGTGAAGAAGATTCGCTTTGCCCCAGGGAAGGGCAACCAAAAGCTGCTGGTCATGTACACGGACGGAGCAGAGGTCTGGGACACCAAAGAGGTGAGGTTCCTTAGACCAATACTTGGCAGGCGCTGGTCACATCATTGTGACAAAAAGTTTGCTTTTGATTCATTGATTGGTTTGACGTAATATGTTATCAATTCCCAGCATACCTCATCTAACTGCGCTGCATAATTGAAAAAATAAAAGGTTCATGGGGGTGGTTTATAGTTTTACACATTTACTATGGCAGAACTCGTGTTTCCATAGCACTGTAATCACTGAAGCAGTGCACTGTTGTGGGGGGCTATATTTAACTAATATCCTCTCACAACCTAACGGTGTAGTAATAGTATATCCACTGTAATTGTCCTGTTGTGTTGAAGGATCATTACAGTTCTCTCACAAATACACATACACAAGCCTTAAAAGCTTTCTGTTGACATATATACACTCAACCATAGCAGGATGGATGATCTTGATTCGTGTAAGCGGCATGGACCCTAGCTCTCTTTTAAACTTTGTTTACCAAAGTTGTCATCGGCCAGAAAGTCCTCCCTTCATTACAACTTATCTGAGAACCCTTCCAGCTAGCTTGTGCTGCAGTTCATCATTTGGTATAATGTCATAGATTGTTTATCTGTATCCATAACACAGTAATTGTTAGCTTACCCAGCAGCAACGAGCGTTAAAAATCGAAGAACAGAAAAATGTGGGCAACGATTTATTCTGTGGTATATTAAGCAATGTGGGGGTGGACGGAAATAGCCCACATAGAGCGCTGTTGTGTGGATGGAGGAATGTTTTTACTTAAGGGGAGCTGAGATAAGACAGTTTTCAGTCCCCAGTCATAAAAGCCAGAGAACAGATGGATAAAGCTGCAGAGGGAAACTAGCAATAGCTATAGAGCGGGAAACGGAGGGAGGAGCCGGAGAGAATGAGGAGAGGAAGCGCAAGAGAGATTTCTGAAATGCTTCAATGCTTTGTTGACAGTAGGGCTGTGCAGATTCCCATACATCCCCATAAAAACCCAGAGAGAGGCTTTGGAGACCACGTTCTGAAAAGCCTTATTGTCCATGGAGTCTTCATTCTATATTCATTCTATACTCAGTATAAATTAGTTTACAGTAGCACACAGTATTGGCCATCCTCTGTTTTTAATCCAACAAGCATTTATTGAATCCATAAATTATTCCATATATCTTATGCTTTGAATTTTACTGAATAATGACATATTTCCCTCCATCTTCCTGGAGCTGTATCAGAGGTTATAAGAAGATGCTGTAAAATGACAGTTTGAGATGAAATACCTTGGCCCTTCTCTCTTGCAGGTCCAAATGGTCAGCAGTATGCGGATCGGTCGCAGCATGAACTACCGCATCCTAGACATTGACTGGTGCACATCAGATAAAGTTGTACTGGCCTCAGACGATGGCTGTATCCGAGTGCTGGAGATGGCCATGACGTCTGCAAGCTACCGCATGGATGAACAAGACCTAACTGGTGAGCCGTGGAATTAAGAGGGTGAAGGAATGAAAGAAATTTGCTTATAGAGATGTGACAAGAGAAATGGTTTGGATGAAGGTTTAAATGCTTTGGAAATGATGTGCTTTTTAAACAACGATCTAGTTAGACTTTACATAATAACATGCAATGTAATGTTGCTCACGTTGGCAATAAAAGCGGTGTCGTAATATTGTGTTCTTCCTTTTTGTGGGGAATATATTCAGATCCAGTGTGGTGTCCTTGCCTGCTGGTGCCCCGAGCTGCTCTCACTCTCAAGGCTTTCCTCTTACTGCAGCCCTGGTCAGGAACGTTCACCATGGACATCACTCAAGTGTAAGTGTCTCCTCTGAGTAAGACCCAATACTATGTCTTTTTTATACCCCTACCGCTCCCTTGTTTGTAAGTTAACCCTCAAAAACAGTGTTATTGTAACACTGGGGGAGGGGGGGTGATTGAACTTTTCTTTTATGCATCATCAGTAGTTATTGCTGATGGCTAAGTAATCAAATGGCCACATTAACATCAGTCATCAAATGCAAAAGAGTGACAGGAACATACAGAATTTCTGAGCATTTAAAAATAAAGACAGCTGCCTATGATGCAAGATTTAAATTGTGACCCATTTAAACTGAAGATACAGTATATAATGTTGGGCTGCCGTATGGATTTGTTGGAATAATGAGACTGGTAGCACACTTGTATTTCTGTTGAAACAGTGCTCTTATGGGCAGTTTTTTTTCTTCCGAGACATGGTTATAACCTAGTTTACCAACAAGTTTGAGCTTCAGTTATGTCGTTATGTTTGATGCACTGCTAAAGAATATAACAACATACATTTATGATTCCTCTATTTTATAATTTCTCATTGAAATGTTTTCAAAGCACATTTTTGTTAGCTTTCTAGTCCCATTTGGATGGATGCATGTCACGGCTATGCATTAAACTTTAATGGAGATGGGCAAACAACCCAGATGCACATATACAACACATTTTATCTTTTTCTTCTCATTCTGGGCAGCAGTTTGCCAAATAGAGTAGTCAGACCATATACATCCATTGTCACTGTTGAAGTGGGTATTGCCCACCCCCGACCGCAGAGAGAAGTTTTGCTTGGCACACCTAAATGAGGAGAATGTTAGTGGATTTGTTTGAGGTGTGTAGCATCGACTGCTGGTAACTTTTGTTGTAGTTAGCCTCAAACTGCTCTGTTTGAGTCTGTCTCCATAAACCCTCTGTTTGAAGGGCTGTGTAGCTCTACGACTTTGCCCTACCCCTCCATCCTAAAGAGAATCAGGACACCCCTACCACTACACCTGAATGTGCACAATGGGGGGTAGGGCCTAGGGGGTGAATTGGGATTGGGTTGAAGTCATTGTAAATGTGTCCACTCTAAAATCATTCTATTTTATTATGTCACAAGTGTTGAAGTTAACACAGACACAGCAACATTTATACTTATATTACATGTATGCTCACAGTTATGGTCAATTTTAGGTTTTCACTTCATCTGCATTTGGGCTGTGGGAAGAGCCTACAGGGACTGGGGAGAGACTTGTGTTGTGTTTGCACACAGAAGTTTTATTAAAAGAAGCTTGTAAGCACCTTGATAAGTAAGCTGACTGAAGAAATAAAAATCATGGAGGGAGCAGACATTTTTAGTGCTGGGAGTGCCGTGAGCCAGTCTGCAAGATTAGTATCAGAGCTGACCAGTGCATTTTTACATTAATTGTCTTGGCTTATAGCAAGGTGGTGTTAATGACCAGTAATTTCCATTACTGATATCCACAAAGGGGATGCATCAGGCAGCTTTAGATTATACTGCATTTGTATTCTGTACATTATTCAGCCTGGACATGAAGATGAGCAACAGCAGGTACACATTGATCTCCTGTTACCACAAAAGTCACTTAAATTGGGATAATGTTCAAAACTTGCCATCACAATTTATTTCAGTTTCACTTTGAGGTGGATTTTACTGCATTTTTTAAGATACATGTTAGAATTAGTAGTGAACAGGAATGGTTTAAAGGCCAAAGGCAGTCTAGTAATATATAGAACAGAAAGGTCTTTGTACATAAATCAGATTTACAGGACCCAGTTGTTCTTAGGTATCAGGATGGCTCAAATATTGAATTAATTTCTTATTGTCAAGACATGGGACCTGCCTTGATGTGGTCTCTTGTACCACCATAACATCTGCCAACCACCCAAGTATTCAGTTAATTACCCTCATAAAGAAATGGCCAGTTTGGCAGTGTAAGCAAACCACCTTTGTAAGCAGATTAACAAGGGAGCTGGTAAAGGCCGTCCTGAGAGAGAGGGAGTAATTTTGTCTTTTTTTTTTCAGGCGGCTACTGTACATCTGTGTTTACTATAGCTTGATGTAATTATGCTCCATTTAACTGAGCTCTCAGTGTTGCACTGCTGTCTTTTATTAAACACACACATTCCCCTTATCGTATTGTTAGTGAGGAGGTATATTAGCAGCACTCACAGGGTGCTACCTGACCTCATCATAAATGTTAGAATAGCATTATTTATTATTCCCTGACACTGCTACTTTCAACAAGCAGGCTCCCCGTTTGTATCGGGTCAGGTTTTACTTTAGGAAGACACAAGAGGAACATTTGACTGAATCTGATCTTGGTGTTTCAGAGACTACAATGAGAAAGACGAGATAAAAGGCCTCATCCAGGAGCAGCTCAACTCCTTGTCTAAGTGAGTTATGGCACTACCGCTTTGTTTTCTAATAGCAGTTATGCACTGTAGCTCAAAGTGGAATATTTAATATTAATGCCATGATGCAAACAACAGTCATATGCTGGTGCATGTCGATGTATATGTGCTAAGTTTTTGTTTATGTACTTTTGTCTTGCAGCTGGATTCCTAGGGTCCTTTTTGTATAGACAGCAGGCCCAAAGAGCATGTAGTCTGTGGGCTGCCAGATAAGAGAAATCTCCCCATAACAGCCACACTGGGCCTGCTGTGTTTGAGGAGTATAACTGGCTCTCACTGTGTTCTGATTGTCTTTCTCTGATTGTCTTTCCCCCAGTGATATGAAGAGCGTGCTACAAGACCCAGAGCTCAGTCTGCTGCAGCGCTGTCTCCTGGTTTCACGGTGAGTTACAACTCAACATGGAGTTACTTCTATTTATCGTCTAAATAGATTGTTCTGTGTTATTGAAGGTTTTGGATGCCCGGCATGGCTGTTTTGGTAACATTCAGACAGTGCACCTATGTCAGAGTTGCATATGAAAGCGATAGTTACTAAGGTAAAAAAAAGTATTTTCAGTAAGCTGTAAAACAAGAGATAAACAAACCGATGGATGGATCAGGAGTGATTTCTCTACAGAAATCTGTGCTTAATGGTATATGTTCTCATAGCCATTTATGTTTTCACAGCTGATTTTTTTTTTTTATTTAGAATATGTAGTGTAAAAGGGAAAGATAAGCAAGACGATTTCAAGATTATGAAAAAAAAATATGCTGGAGAAAAAAAGTTTGAAGCTTTAAAGCTGTAAAATTATTTGCCAGAATGCCAGGGCTTATTTGTGTTGTAATTGTACAGCTGTGATACTGTATCTCCACAAATACATGACAATGAAAGCTGGTGTCAGCAAGTCTGATCTCATCTCTGCTCCTGTTCTCATTTCCCTAGAGCAAGTGACAAATCTAGAACAGCTAGTCTGCGCAGAAATGCAATATCTTTCCCTTGTTTGCATCCTGTTATTAAAGCCATGATTTACCTGGAAATTTCCAAGGACTATTTGTGTGCCATGAATACTTTGGCTTTGCACTCACTGAGTGCTCATGATTATGTATCTGCATTCAGGCATCCAAGTTTTTATGCCATTGTTAATCTGGCAGGGTAACCTAGCAACAGCTGTACTCCTGTGCAGATATGTTAAAAGGAGGCTGAAGGAAGTAAACAATATCAGACAAAGCAGAAGGATGTTGAGAAGGGGTGTAGGGGAGAGCCATGAAAGAAAGAGTAAGGTGGAAGATACACAAACTACAGTCATTAGTGAGCAAACTACTAGGAAACTTGAGTTGACTCAGACTGCTAAATTTGACTAACTACTCTAGAGAAACTTCAGCTGATGCGTTGTTATGGTAAACCACAGGCTGTTCGGGGATGAGTCAGACCTTCACTTTTGGACAGTGGCGTCCCACTATCTTCAGTCATTTGCACAGGCTCGTCAGCTAAACGTGTCTACTGCAGAGGGTCAGGCCCAAAGCGAAGGAACCCAGCCATCATCTCAGAGCCACCTGGACATCTGTCATGACATCCTGTGTGAGAGCTCTTATTTCCAGGTCAGTAAAATGAGAAGAAAAGATGGTGCTTTTTCTGTTTTTGTTAAGCAGAGACAATAAAGACAAATGTATATGTCTTTGCCAGCAGTCAACGTTTAAAAAAAATAAAAATAAAAAATCCCCCTCAGAACTTATCCAAACAGCACCAGCCTGTCCCTTGTCATCCATACTGGCCCCTTCAGCAAGGAACTTCCATTATTAATGGCATGGTGTACCTCCTCTGTTGTGTCACTAAGTCCCAGTATTAGGGGGGGGCAACTCACACCTTCAAGCCTTTGAGGCCAAACCCCTTTCACTCCAATCCTTACTATATTTAATTCCTCCAACATTTCCTCACAATGAATCTAACCATCATCGGGATATGGTCAGTTGTTTGTTCTGTGTCAGTCCTCGGATCAGTGCACCTTGCTGAGGACATAGCTGAACCAGTGTCCAAGGCCCTTTTAAACAATACCCTGAATCTGCTTCCCCTCCCGGCTTTAATTATTGACCCAGTTTGCCCTGAAGAATTTTAGAAAGGTTTCTTCAGACAATGCCCATTGATTAGTCCTCCTCTGCTTAGTTTCCCTGCATCGCTATGCTGGTTGCTATAGTGAATGTGAAGATTTTTCATTAAAGATTCATTTTTTTGTTTGTTTTTTGCTTAAGTTGTGCCTCACATTGAATACTTATGTGGAGACTTTAGAGAAATAGTTTGAAAAAAAGTGTGAGTACTAATGAAAAATTTTAGTCCACTGTGCAAGTGAAGACAGGCATTTTCTGGTTTGTGGTACTGTATGTCTGGCCTTTTTCCTCCAAAAGGCTAGGCTATAGCTGTGTCACAGTTCAGGGTCTACATCGTTCGAAGGGTGCACTGTACAAAGGCATGGCCTTCGTAGCTGTCATGGACCACGAAGGCTGAACAATGGGCCAAGCTGAAATGAGACAGTTTGGTTTACAGAGGATTTTCTATTTACGTTACCACCCATTTCTGCCCTTACCATTGGTCCTGTGTCCTAGCAACCTTGACAGCTACTCTGCTCTCTGCCAGCACGCAAAGAAACATGGGATATGGTGAGCCAGGAAGGATCCACAAGTTGGAGCCTTTGTTGCCCGGAGACAGGAGGACACTTTTCTAGGCCACATTTGAAAGGAGCCTTCGAAATGGGATGACCTTATTGCAATGCTGTGATGTAATGGGTCTTCAAATGCAGCCTTCAAAATATGAGTCCCCCGAATTAGGACAGAGCTTATATCCATATACCCAAGGAAGCAGAGGAGAGAAGAAGAATGTGAATTATTTTTGATGAAATACTGTTAACCACTTAAATAATGTCAAGTAGCCTTTAGCTACCATTGAAGTTTGAAGTTGCACAGTGTAAATGCACTGTCTAATTTCACTCAGTCATTTTGTTTGTCTTGTAGCATTATTCAGTTTTTTTTATGAATTATGTCTAAAATTTTTGTCTGTGATGTTCTACTCCCTGGTAATGAGGAGCCAGGCAGTGATAACAAAGTTCAATTTTCAAAGAGCTACCCCGTCTGGGGCAGCATATGGCTTCTGTTGTCATAAAGCAGCTTCAGTGGCAGCAGTCTGACTGTGGTTACTAATATCCAAGGCTCTTGAGAGGGAGCACATGGCTCTGAAGTTACTAAACTCATTTGGTATCTTTGTAAGGATTTATGTCCATGGCTGTGACTCACAGAATAATTCATCGTAATAACGTACAAAAAAGAGCTTTTGTGGTAGATACAGATAAGTATGCACACACACACACACACACACACACACACAGACAAAACTCATTTTCTGCTTTGCTGTTATATCTCCCCTCATTTTCTCTCTCGAGTCCTCTTATAAATCTAATGAATTTTCATTCTTTAAAGCCGCTTTTGCTGTTTTTATGTTTCATGCTTTCGTGTTTTGAAAAACTGATCTCTCTCAGCATAGCACATGAAATGAACAAATAGGTGAAAAGCCACCAATGTTGAAAGGCAATAGGGGCACCAGAACCACTGGGAAAACTCCAGAATTATTAAAGACCTTATAATCATCTCTCTCCAACTCTGAACTATAATTGTCCTCTATCTCTTTTTTTGTTCATCATTATGTCTTCACTGCAAAATCTACGTGTGGCAATTCATTCCAACTCTGCTGCCCCCCCCCCTTGTCCAAAATTTGATCATGGATCTTTGGAAACTGTGGGAAAAAGTAAGCTAACTTGTGACCCTATTCTTACTGTTCAACAGAAGTTCCAGTTGGATCGGGTTCATCTGCAGGAGGTGAAGCGCTCAAGTTATGAACACACTAAGAAATGTGCTGACCAGCTCCTCCTGCTGGGTCAGGTAAATACTGCACTGCTCATACTGCCCAAGCATGTACAGATCATTAGGTCTGTAAGAATCTTAGGTGTTTTTAGATGCTGCATTTACTTACAGCTTTCAGATTATCTACAGCCCTTCTTTTTTACACACTAACACTTGCACATTTCTTACCTGTGCATATATACAAACTGTCAGAATGGGAGGTAGTGCTGTGGTGCCTAATGAAGCAAGATGGGTGATAAGTACTGCCTCTGTCATCGTGGCGTCTCAGCCTGCGGGACCTCGCTCCCCTTTCAATGTCACCACTCTCCCTCTAATCACAGGCTGCAATCAGCAGGCTGGGTGTTGGAGGTGCAGCCCTCTAACAGATAGACAGGTAGAGGCCAGCGTGAGTTGACCCCAGCATGAGCTGGAGCCTTCATCTACACCAGATAAAAAACAAGATAATAAGCATAATTTCCCCTTGCAGTTCTGTCTTGTTCAGCTCAAACAGTGGTTTCCTGCCTGAGCTGCTAATGCTGTCTTTCTCTTTGTTATACATTTTCATCTCTTTGTTGTTGCTGTCAGACGGACAGGGCAGTGCAATTACTGTTGGAGACGAGTGCAGACAACCCCAGCTATTACTGTGATTCACTCAAGGCCTGCCTAGTGACAACCATCACCTCCTCAGGCCCCTCACAGTCCACCATCAAGCTAGTGGCCACCAACATGATTGCTAATGGCAAGCTAGCAGGTAGTGTTACTGTATGTGTTACACCAGTTAACAACCCTTATTTTTCATGAGTACAGACAGCTTTCACTATGCATCCTTGAAAGTGCCTTACAATATTTTTAAATATGTTGTCTCTTTTTTAGGCTTTTAAATGTATGGTTTATAAAGGTTTTAGCGTTCAATAACTTCTCATCTGAAAAAAAACCCAGACTTACAAAGGTATAATTGAATAGGTTCTGCATTACAGTTTAAAACTTTGGATTGGAATCGATCCACAATGAGTATGGCTACTGCCAGCAGATTAACAGGATACAAAGAAATGATCATACTAGTGTCTGGACAGAGTACCGATGGCCCATCATTTCCCCAACTCACACATATCCAAATTCTGCCCTTTTGCTGTTTGTCAGAGGGAGTACAGCTGTTGTGTTTGATTGACAAGGCTGCGGATGCTTGCCGCTACTTGCAGACCTACGGAGAGTGGAACCGAGCTGCCTGGCTGGCCAAGGTAACTCAGTGTAACGGCATATGTCAACAGGGAATAACAGATTTTGTGTAATGTTTGGATAGTTTGTGAATGTGTGGGCAGGGGGTGTATGCAAGTTGTGTATATTAAGTTTTCATAGTATGTGTTTTTCATAATGTGATGCATTCATGTCACACGACTGTTAGTTGATTTTGGATCTGGGGTTCCAATGCTTTGAAGTTCAAGTACCATGCATGTTGCACGTGTGTGTGTGTGTGTGTGTGTGTGTGTGTGTTTGTGTGTTCAGGTGCGACTCAACCCAGCAGAGAGCTCAGATGTGCTGAAGCGCTGGGCAGAGCACCTGTGCTCACCCCAGGTCAACCAAAAATCCAAAGCCATCCTGGTGCTGCTCTCCCTGGGCTGCTTCCACAAAGTAGGAGAGATGCTCCACAGGTAGGTCGTAAAATGAGAAGTGCAAATGCAGAACTTCTTTTCCTTTGTTGTTGTGTTCTTTCATCCGCAATCATAAACACTTCTTTCCCAGTCTCTTCCTCTCCTTGTTCTCCTGAGTACACTGAAGGACATTTCATAGTGCATGGTATGGCCTGACTCTGGATCTTTTGCTTCACCATCGATCTGCCTTTGTCCCACCTGTCCTCTGCCTTTACAGCTCATTTTCTGAGATGTCTCTCGTGACAAAAAACTCTCACAGAGAATTAGAGAGGGATCAGGACGACAGGGTTGATGTATGCTTTAGGATCACTGGCATTAAGGCAGGGATGATGCTGGTTTCTGACAAGCTCCTTCCCACTCCTTCTGACTGTCTTTTTCTTCTTTCTTCAATCCCCTGGGCAGTATGAGGCACTTTGATCGCGCCGCCCTCTTCATCGAAGCCTGTCTGAAGTATGGAGTGATGGAGGCTAGCGATTCTTCCAATATCCTTTTTGAAAACCTCTTGCTGTACTCTTGAGGGCTGTTTATAACCAGAGTTAGCCCCACTGTCTGACTGTCCATCTCTGCCCCGATAGCAGACAGCTTCTTCACAATGGTCAATTTAGATGTTCCACAGAGCACATCAAGTTGCATTTCACATGTTCCCAAAAGTTAATATCACACTCTCATCACAGAGTTAAATTATTCTGCAGACTCATAGGAGAACTTTTACAGCCTAGACTCTGAAAGCTTACTTTACAACACCTGACCATTAATATTTATGTGAAGCAAACAAGATGTTTCACCTGTTTAAGATAATAACTTGTAGTATAACATTATTGTATTAATATTTTTTACAATAACTATACTCTTCTTATATCCATGCTCTAAAAAGTAAATATTAGGCACAGTGTCTGATAGTCAGGTTGTGTCTTTGACCTTCAGCTGTAGTATAAACAAAGTGCAGTGCAGCATGGTGTTTCATTCAACTATATGGTCAATGTGGAGACTTGTATTATATGGAGTTTAATTACATTATATTCAAGTGTTTCTAGTAATTATCCTATCCTGACTGATTTAAATGTTGTCTGTGTGACCACTAAAGCCATGAAAATTTGCTTGTGTTAACATTAAGAAGTAATTTGAGCAGGTCAAATAGAAGTACATAATGAAATGTGATGAGTTCTCCTTGATCCGCCAATGCACATAAACTTATCGAGGCTGCTTTTTTGGACTATGCACGGCTGCTACGCACACTGGGCCTGCGGGAAGGCGCTGCTCTGTGGGCATCGCGAGCGCCGGCAGCGCTGGGCAGCAGCTGATGGAGGAGCTGTTCCAGGGAGAGGGAGGTGTGCCAGAAGCCATTCTTAGCGAAGAGGAAGTTGAGATGGGCTTGGAGAGCACAGAGTAATCTTGAAGATGTGGGGTTTGTAAGAACAGATGGCATAACTGTTTAATGTAAATCAGTAAGGTAACATTTGTGAATTAACTTTGTGTCAGCACCAAGAAGAATCATTGTCATCTCCACAACAAGAAAAAAAGAGGAGATGTGAGGAGTTTCCTCAAGTTTAAGTTGTCTGTCACTGACGTCTGCCTGTATCTGATTCTGCATTCTCCTGATATCAGACTGTATTTCTGTTCATTAATGAGTTTAAATATTTTATTTCTTAATGGTTGTTTGTTAAGCTTTAGTTTGGGTGCCTGTTTTAATGATGTCAAAGCACTGGTGTCGCTCCACAGGTTTCATTTCTCTTTTTCCTG